GTTAATTACTTGCACAAATCACAAAAGCTTGGTTTGTAACTTTCTATGACCTTTTTTAATGACTTTGAATCTTTCATGCATGACTTCTTAAGAGTAGATTTACACATTTGCGGATCCGTTTATGCTTTTTGCTTTTGTTTCGTTTATATATATGCATCTTCAAGCTAACGAAGTCTTTTCTATAAGATATTTCATATGAATAAAATCTTCAAGGTAAGATTAATAATTTTTTTGATTTATGTTGTGTTTATCTCTGTGATTTACAAGTAGTTTCAAATACTGTCAAAGACAACTCAATATTTTGAAGAGGAAAAGATAGACAGCCCCAAATAATCTACTTTTTGCCTAGGGTTAAGTAAGGACTATTGGTATCTGATGAGACGTTCAAAGTTTTTGGGTTAATATATATACATTATGAAAATTTTGCTAACAGTTGTAAGAAATATATAAACTCATTTGTTATTTGTATTGCAATTAAGAAACTAAGTCAGGCGTTGTATCTTTAGGTTGGTAACATTCGACAAAGGAAACACTAGAAAAGATATATAAATCGTCGGAAGATGGTTCCAGCTACAACCACATCACAAAAAATATGCTTTTGTTCTTCAGTTTCTTTCACGTTATGCATTTCCTCTCCTCTTAAATTCAAAGGAAACGTATTCATTGCAAGCACTCAAAAAAGTAAATAGAATGCTTTCTGGCCTCATGCTACATGGAGAATCCATCCAGCAAAGGTCAGCACAAGGATCAGCGCAAATGGTTGTTAGTTTGTATAACAAGGATCGTCGATTCAAAATAAAAAGAACATGATTCAAAATCCGGCTAGTTTTAAATTTAGTAAACTCCATAAAAAAAAATCAATTTTTTTAAATCATATAAATTAGAAACTTTAAATGTTTTGTGGTTTGTTTTCAACTTACTTCAACTTAACACTTGGTTTTTTTCTAAAACAAAAGCATTTTGTAAAATCAAAAATTTTAAGTTAAAAATTAAAATAATTTACTTAAAACATTATATGTGAAAAACTTTAAAACTTACCTAAATGTTAAATTATGTGTAAACCATATTGAATTTAAAACACCTCGTAACTATGGGTTTGGATATTGTAGCCAATTAGTTTATACAAAATAAAAAAATTTAACACCTATAAAAAAAACTAAAACATTTAAAAAACAAGTGTTAAAATTTTAATTATGTGTAAACCATATTAAACCTAAAACACTTTTTAGGGGTTTGAATGTTTTATCCAATTAGTTTATATAAAATTTAAAAATTTTAACACTTGTGGTTTGGATGTTGTAGCCAATTAGTTTATACAAAATAAAAAAATTTAACACCTATAAAAAAAACTAAAACATTTAAAAAACAAGTGTTAAAATTTTAATTATGTGTAAACCATATTGAACCTAGAACACTTTTTAGGGGTTTGAATGTTTTATCCAATTAGTTTATATAAAATTTAAAAATTTTAACACTTGTTAAAAAGAAAACAAAAAAAACAAAACATTTAAAGACAAAACAAGTGTTAAAAATTTGATTATGTGTAAACCATAATAAACCTAGAATATCTTTTAGGGATTTGGAGGCTGTATCCAATTAATTTACACAAAATTAAAAAAATAATAATTATCAAAAAAGAAACATTAAAAAATAAGTGTTAAAAATTTAATTATGTGTAAATCATATTGAGCCTAGAAGACTTTTTGGGGGTTTAGATATTGTATCCAATTAGTTTACACAAAATTAAAAAATTGAATACTTATCATAAAAGAGAAAAAACATTTAAAAAATAATTGTTAAAAATTTAATTATTTGTAAACCATATTGAACGTTGCACATCTCTTAGGAGTTTAGATGTTATATCCAAGAAAAATTGTTAAAAATGCCCCTTTTTCAATACTCCTTTTCAAAAATGCCCCCTTTGAGAGTTTATTTTTAGTTTGCCTTCTTTTAATTTTTAATGACCATTTTACCCTTATTTGAAACAAAATTAGGTCCACAAAATACAAAAAATACGGGAAAAGTGATCCCGCAATTTTACCACCAAAACACTTGTAAAAACTTGTAAAACTTTTAAATTACCTAGTAAAATTTTCCCGTAAAAATTTTTCTCCACAAAAAATTTTCCCGCCAAAAATTTTTTTTTGCGGAAAAAGTGATTCCGCAATTTTTTAAAATAGCTTGTAAAATCTTATAATATCTTATAAATACATTGTAAAACCTTATAAATACCCTGTAAAAAACCTTTAAAATACCTTGTAAATTTTTTCCGCCAAAAAAATTGCGGAATCACTTTTCCCGCAGCAAAAAAAATTTGGCGGAAAAATTTTTTGGCGGGAAAATTTTACAAGGTATTTTAAAGATTTTACAAGTTTTTACAAAATCAAATTTGTAATTTTGATGTGACAGATTCTCATGTTTTCTTTATATATTTGTGATATCTTTTATTAAAAGAAGGGTAATTTAGTCATTTTGTACATAAAAAAGGATATTTTTAAAACTGGACACCCAAAGGGAGGTATTTTTGAAAAGGGATATTGAAAAATGAGCATTTTTGTGAGTCTCCCTGTATCCAATTAGTTTACACATAATTAAAAATTTAACACTTATATAAAAAAAAATTTTAATTAAAAATTTAATTATGTGTAAACCATATTGAACCTAGAACACCTCTTAGGGGTTTGGATGTTGTACCCAATTAGTTTACACAAAATTAAAAATTTAACACTTATAAAAAACAAAAAAAAGTATAAAAAAAACAAGTGTTCAAAATTTAGTTACGTGTAAACCATATTGAACCTAGAACACCTCTTATGAGTTTGGATGTTTTATCCAATTAGTTTACACAAAATTAAAAAATTTAACACTTATCAAAAAAACAAAAAATATTAAAAAAACAAGTGTTAAAAATTTAATTATGTGTAAACCATATTGAACCTAGAACACCTCTTATGAGTTTGGATGTTGTATCCAATTAGTTTACACAAAATTAAAAATTTAACACTTGTAAAAAAAATTACATTTAAAAAAGCAAGTGTTAAAAAATTTATTATGTGTAAACCATATTGAACCTAGAACACCTCTTATGAGTTTGGATGTTGTATCCAATTAGTTTACACAAAATTAAAAATTTAACACTTATAAAAAAAAAATTACATTTAAAAAAAGCAAGTGTTAAAAATTTAATTATGTGTAAACCATATTGAACCTAGAACACCTCTTAGGGGTTTTGATGTTGTATCCAATTAGTTTACACAAAATTAAAAAATTTAACACTTATCAAAAAAAAGAAAAAAAAAACAAAACATTTTTAAAAAAATACAAGTGTTAAAAATTTAATAATGTGTAAACCATATTGAACCTAGAACACCTCTTAGGGGTTTGGATGTTGTATCCAATTAGTTTACACAAAATTAAAAAATTTAACACTTATCAAAAAAAAGAAAAAAAAAACAAAACATTTTTAAAAAAATACAAGTGTTAAAAATTTAATAATGTGTAAACCATATTGAACCTAGAACACCTCTTAGGGGTTTGGATGTTGTATCCAATTAGTTTACACAAAATTAAAAATTTAACACTTATCAAAAAAAAAGAAATAAAAAACAAAACATTTTTAAAAAAATACAAGTGTTAAAAATTTAATAATGTGTAAACCATATTGAACCTAGAACACCTCTTAGGGGTTTGGATGTTGTATCCAATTAGTTTACACAAAATTAAAAAATTTAACACTTATCAAAAAAAAAAGAAAAAAAAAACAAAACATTTTTAAAAAAATACAAGTGTTAAAAATTTAATAATGTGTAAACCATATTGAACCTAGAACACCTCTTAGGGGTTTGGATGTTGTATCCAATTAGTTTACACAAAATTAAAAATTTAACACTTATCAAAAAAAAAGAAATAAAAAACAAAACATTTTTAAAAAAATACAAGTGTTAAAAATTTAATAATGTGTAAACCATATTGAACCTAGAACACCTCTTAGGGGTTTGGATGTTGTATCCAATTAGTTTACACAAAATTAAAAATTTAACACTTATAAAAAAAAATAAAAAATAAAACATTAAAGAAAAACAAGTTAAAAAAAACAAAAACATGGGATAGAAATTGACCTTGCCGATAAGTTGGAATGTGAGATGATTATCGTCATGGGCTGGACTTCTTTATTCTTGTTGGGCTGAAAGAGTTTCGATGACATGGCGGTGAATGAGAAACTGTGATCGTCTCTCTAATGGTTACGACACGAAACAGAGCAGCAACAACCACGACGAAAAGCCGGAGAAAAGATGGAAAATCTACAAAAGGAGGAGAAGAGAAACTGTATTAGGAATCTTCTGAAAGTAGTTAAGAAATCAATTGAAAATTGTATTCGAAGATAAGAAAAATACCTTTTGAAATCAGAGAGTTTTTGTCGGCGAGTCTTCACTTTTGCTTTCCGATCATCATTCACCAAAAAACAAATATCGATTTTGTTGTTTTGCAACCGAAATTGAACACACACTCTCAATCATGGCAGTGATCTAAGTAAAAAAGAATTAGAAGAGAAAATGAAAACAAATTAGAGATGGTTGTTGATAAGAAAGAGAGGAAAGTATGATCTAATGGGTCTCTCTAGGGTTTCTTCTACTATTTATAAACACGTCTAAATAACACTAACCAATATGTTCGTAAGTTCGTTTGCTTTAAGAATGGAAACAAACACAAAAAAAAAAAAAAAAAGGAAATCTATCTTACAGGAGCGGAGACGAAAAAAAGGAAATTAATACTTATAACGGTAAAATAAACGAATTTCCAAAACTACCCCCATAATATACAGAAAGCCTCCCTCGGTTATCGAACCTTCCAAATTAGTCAGGCTTTGTAATGTGACTTCTTCGATGGCCCATTTGACTTACAATCTCGTATTAGGCCCAAATACATTTACTAATTTAACTAGACCTTCTTCTGATTTGCTTCGAGGTTGCTATATCTTTTTGAATAACAAAATCTGGAAATACTTAAAAAAAAGATGGATTTTCTCAAATGATCAATCAAATACATTTTCCCATTATACAATCAAAAACCTCAAATGAATTGACTATGCAAGTATTACACATTTTCTTATTAGACATCCAATTTTTTCATCCCTTATGGAAAAAGGGAATCAGGTTACTTTGACGGAATCAATAACCCAATGTTGACCATCGGTTTTGACTTTTAACCGGTTAATCTCTGCGAACAGATTCACGGCTCTCCTAACTCCTCTATTATCCGCCGCTGTGAAATAATCGTGACCAAATATAACACCGCCGGGTCGGAGTATCCGAACCGCCCGGTTTATATCCGCCCAAGCCGAATTGAAATCGTGACCCGCGTCTATCTCCACCAGATCCGCCGTCACTCCCCACTCACACAGCTTCTCCAAAGCGGAACCGGTCGAGAAAGGAACCGGCAAAATCGAACCGGAAACATTCGAGCTAACCACGTTTTGCATAAACTGGTACATAAGCAAAACGTCACCGTTAACCAAAGCCACGTCCTTAAACCGGTCTCGAAAACCAGGCCAGCCACGGAAATCGTCGACGCAGAGAATCTGAGTCTCCTCTAGCCCAAGGCGGCGCGTGAGATTCGCCATGTGTATCGCCGACGCGCCGAGGAAACTTCCGATTTCGACGATCGTCCGAGGTTTGACTCGGCGGATTAGATTCTCGAAAACGGCTCCGTACGATCCCCAGCCTTTGATTCTTTTTGGCCGGAGAAACTTCTCGGCGTGTGGTGGTGGGAAATCGGTGTACGGAGAAGTTCCGTTAAAGATCCGGTCGATAACCGTTTGGCGAATCAATTCCGGCGGGACAAGATTGCCGCATCGAGTCGTTACTCGGAAGTTGTCGATTGAACAAACTTGAGGTTTTATCGTCTTCACATCTCTCACCGCCGCCGGAGACGGTGGCTGCTGCTGCTGCAGCGGTTGATGAGAGTAGTAGGCGGAGAAGTAACCGAAGGCGTAGGTTAGAACTATGAAGATAACGTACGCAGTCTTGGTTTTCAAGAATTGGAAGGCATCGCGTTTGTGAGGAAGACGACGATCCTCCTTCATGGTCAAGATTTCTGAGAATGAATGAAGTAAAAACAAAGGATTAAGGAAGAATTATGGTGTTTGTAATTAAATTTACATAATTGGAATTATGGAGTTTAATTATTAATATTTTGGCGGGTCAGTTTGTTGAGACGTTTAAATACAATCGGATAAGAAATTGCTTAGGTCGTGATCTAATTTATTAGTATTTATTTGACTTTACGTGTCTAGAAAGTTACATGTGATGATGTAGTCATTTACAATCAAAATAATTTGCTTTACCTTTGATCCGATTAATTTTGTATTTCGGGTTCTTATGAGTTTTAGAAAACTATAAAAAGAAACTTATTTAACTCCCCTAGACCTATAGGTGAATGAAAATGCTCAAGTTTATAGTCATTTTGCGCAAACTACAAATATCTAATCTTTAGTGTATTTTAAGTTTTCAACGAAATCATATGGTATTAAGTATAACACGACCCAATCTCAATAGTCAATGATAAGTACAATCATGTTGCACATGTCAAATGCAGCAGTGATTCGAAAGAAATTAAATTGTAGTGTTTAATATATGTGGCATTCGCCTAGATCTTATAATAGAGTATGTGTCATACGCCGAAAACAACATTGGACCTCCCCTTAGTGATAAGACCATCTTTATTGGGAGGTGCTTAACTTGGTTCTTAACTCAATTAAAAGTGCAATTGATGATTTTGCTAAAGAAAGATTCTTAGCTAAGCACCAAAAATTGGGCTAAGAACCAAAACTAAGCTTCTCCCAATAATGTTGCTCTAAATAAATACATTAATATATTTTTTCATATAGTAAATGAAAATTATTAAATAAACTCAACTAGCAATTTTGGTTATAACAATTAAACAAGTTAGACGTATGAAATTCAGCAAACTAGTAGATTTGCTATTGTTTTATCCTTCTTATGATTGTATTTTTGTTAACGTAGTTTTTGCTTTTGTTTTTTTTGGGGGGCAAAATCTCTTATAATCTAATGAGTGCTTAATTAGCGTTTCAGAAAGCTGTGGCCATTTTGGTAATTTCCAGAGACTTGTCCAAATTTTCTTAGCTAAGCACCAAAAATTGGGCTAAGAACCAAAACTAAGCTTCTCCCAATAATATTGCTCTAAATAAATACATTAATATATTTTTCCATATAGTAAATGAAAATTATTAAATAAACTCAACTAGCAATTTTGGTTATAACAATTAAACAAGTTAGACGTATGAAATTCAGCAAACTAGTAGATTTGCTATTGTTTTATCCTTCTTATGATTGTATTTTTGTTAACGTAGTTTTTGCTTTTGTTTTTTTTGGGGGGCAAAATCTCTTATAATCTAATGAGTGCTTAATTAGCGTTTCAGAAAGCTGTGGCCATTTTGGTAATTTCCAGAGACTTGTCCAAATTTTCTTTAAGATAAGACGATAGAGTTGGACGACCATTTTCCACCGTTGAAATCTTCTCGAACACAAGTCCACTGTTTAAGCTTCACTGTCTCTGAATCGGCAAAGGTAAACTTTAGAATGATTCTACAAACCCTTTTCTTTTTCTTTTGAATTTGCGTTTTGATTGGGCTATATGATAAGTAAAAGCTTCAATTCCCTAAGAATAATTGAATTTGATCTGTGTTTTTTTACTGGCCTTAATATTAAATCCTTATACTGTATAACCTTTGTTGCTGGTTAAAAATTGGAATTAGATACGTTTACTTCTTCTCTTGTAATTTACATGTGTTCGAGTGTTAAGTTGTGATAATGGTTGTGTTAATTCACTTTCAGATTTAGAAGAAAATGGCAACAGCATCAGGAGGTAAAGCCAAGTACATAATCGGTGCTCTCATCGGTTCTTTCGGAATCTCATACATCTTCGACAAAGTTATCTCTGATAATAAGATCTTCGGAGGCAAGTTTTGCTCAAGCTTTCACTATTTTTATGTGCGTTTTCAACGTAGGAACGATCTTAATGGTTATCTTCTGGTGAAACCCTCAGGGACTACTCCCGGAACCGTATCTAACAAAGAATGGTGGGCGGCGACCGATGAGAAATTTCAAGCATGGCCAAGAACCGCTGGTCCTCCCGTCGTCATGAATCCCATTAGCCGTCAGAATTTCATCGTGAAGACGCGTCCCGAATGAGAAAATAAGTTCAATGCTTTGATTTTCAGAATAAGATGAATGATGATGTTTTCTAAATCCGAGCTTGTACTAAATAACAATACATTACAACACGGTTTGCGGAACTATTCCACAGTCTATCTTCTGTTAAAAACTCAAATAAGCTATTGCAAAACCCTTACGAGACTCAGAAGTCCTAAATATCAACAAAACAAAGCTTCTTTGGATCCTTTCACTTGCCATCATCTTTTCCTTGTCCATCTGCTCCATCTTGCTTGCCTCCTCTAAGCCCCACTGTTAGTAAAGAACGAAATGAATGAACACAATCCAAGTAAATATAAGTTACAATTATGAATTGAGTATTTTCTTAATAAACTAAAGAGATTTACCGTTCCCTCCAAGACCGGTGTCTGGTTGTTGCATCGCATGCTGCATCCCGTTGTTGTTCATACCCATTGGTCTAATCCCCATGTGTCCTTGCATAGCTTGTTGATGTATCTGCTGCTGTTGCGGATCCTGAAGCTGGTGTGGGCTACCAAACTGCAAAGGACCTCGTGGAGGGAAAAGCCCTGCGGGTGATGCTTGTTGACCCATTCCTGAAGCTTGTGGGTGTTGCATGAAGTAGCTAGGTGGTTGCATCCCTGGATGCGGTGTTGTCATCTAACAGAAATCATACCCAAAAGTAAGCAAACCCCAACACATTAAATTTTCGGAATTCGATATATATTATTATGTTCTGATTGATCGCAATTGACTTTTAATATCACAAACAACCTGGGAAGCCATAGCTGGAGATGGTGCAGCTCCTTGTGTAGGTGGTGGGGGTTGAGCATCAGCAATTGCAGCAAGATACATCAAGTTCTTCTGGAGAAGAGCTTGGTACCTGAAAATATAACAGAGCAGAAGATATAATAACTATATAACCTCACCATTAATAATAGTAATTCTAAGCTTCCATTACTGCTCAAGAGACAGAAGATGGATATAAACTGAAATGTCTACAAAGGAGACACTTACTGGGCACATTCTGCAAGTTTTCCGAGATTCTGGTTTTCCATGATGGCCATTATCAGCTTCTTGTTCTCATCAAGGTACTGAAACATATTAAAGAGAATGATGAGGAAATGAAGATGCAGCCTATCATCTTACCACAAACAATGGAAGACATCAAGCCACTTAACTATACAAGAACATCAAGCAAGCATCTAACCTCAATGACCAAACATAAAAATCGGATTCTAAGTTTCTTGATCCAAATTAATATATACTCCGAAACTTTTAACAAAACCCACTAAGCATCTAGTCTCCTAGTCCTTAAACTGTGTCTTCTCTTTTGATCACCAACAAGAGACCCAAGTGTTGTATCATTTAACCACAACTGTTGTGAGATTCCTATCGGAGTATCAACGAGAAAGATTCAAAGATAAACACTTTACCACCATTACTTGCACTCAAATCGTAAGAACCCATTGATTTTTCTCAGCACAAAAGCTCGATGAGACAATTATTATATAGAGAGATATGCACTGAGAAGGAGAGAAATTGAAGAAAGAAGGAACCTTTTGGATCTGTTCGGTAGTGATGTTGTTAGTAGGGGGAATCGAAGGAACCATCGGAAACATTTGCGGAGACTGCTGCATCTTCGCCGAACAAAAACCCTAATTTCGTCTTCCCCAAAAACCCCTCGAAATTTTAACCAAAACCCAGACCGATCCAAACGAAGAAAAATCCCGAGGAAATGATTGCAACAAATATAGAGAATCCTGCAATTTATTACTTGGATTCACCTGGATGTCGAACGAGCTCTGTGTGATTTTATGACCAAAAAATGCCTCTTCTAATTTGTCTTTATAACTTAAAAAACGTAAAAAAGAAACAAAAACCTCTAAGCCAATCAGAAAGTTTTGTTCTTAATTTGGGCTTTAAACAAGATTCTAAGGCCCATGGGCCTACCAGAAACAGATTCAATATGAGTTCTTCTTCTTCGCCTAAAATTCGAAATTTCGAAACCTCTCAGATACATACACCTAACGGAAACATACAGTAGCTTCTATTTCCTCTTCCGCTAAGAAAAATCGTAATTCAATCCTTACTTACACCTTTGGATTCTCTCAAATATCCGATCGGAATCTGGCAACGATGGTGAGAGATATTCAAGATGAGATCAGAGTCCAGAAGAATCCTCTGCCGGTTGATGAAGATCATATCGCTCTCCTCAAGAGTCCTTATGTAAGCGCCCCTTTTGAAACCCTAAATTCAAGTTTTCTCGAAAATTTACTCTTCTGGATCATCGGAAATTTTGAATCCAAAGTAAATTTTAGTTACTTTACCATTTTTAGGGTAAGTCCGTGTTGGTCAAATTTGCTTAGCTTTGGTTTACCTTTTGATTCTGTCTTAATTGATCTTGGATAAGCCTGATTGTGTCTCACTGTTTGAATTAGTCCAAGTGGAAATACTCTTACTCAAACTTCGTTGTATCTGTTCTCTCTTCTCAGCTAGGTGAAATTGTTGAAGAAATTAGCTCTGTGAGCGAGAAGCTCAATGCTCAGTGTGATGATGGTGGTAGTGACGTCAACTCTGCTCCAAACATTTTCTATTTTGATCATGTGCCTCCTAAGAAGCGCCGCTACCTTGGGACAAGTGACACTTGGAGAAGTTTTGAGCCGTTGAACGAAGACGCGTGTGTCGTATGCGATATTACAGACGATAGTGTAGCGCCTTGTTCTGGGAATGACTGTCCTATCTCTGTTCACAGGGAGTGTGCTGAGCTTGATTGTGAAGATTCTGCAACCTCTTATTGTCCCTATTGTTGGTTTAAAGATAAAGCGACTAGATCCACGACATTGAGAACAGTGGGTGTTGCAGCTGCGAAGACACTTGATCAATATAGATGTACTAAGCTTAAGAGTGGAGATATAGCCATGGCGAGAGAAAATAATCAACTAGAGAATGATAATGATAATTCACTCTCAATGCAATTACATGAAAACCTTCATCAATTGCGGGAAGTTGTCGGGCAACTTAAGGCTCAAAATTTCCGGTTTGACGAGACAATTGTGGAGAAAGCTTGCGGAGAAGCTTGTGTTGACGTTGATGATCAGCGGAAAAGGGTCTTATGGACAGCCAAGGAAGAGAACATGTTGAGGGTAAAACCACCAACTACCTCCACTTGTTCTTGCAATACACTTTTAGCTTAAATTCATAGTGTATGTTTATTTTGGATAGGTGGGAGTGGAGATATTTGCAGCTACAATCAATAAAAACATACCTTGGAAGAAGATTTTGGAGATGGGAAAAGGTATATTCCACAAGACTCGTAATTCCTCAGATCTTAAGGACAAGTGGAGAAACATGGTGCGTATGTGATTAATAAGTCTTTTCACTAGCAAACGTTAAGACAAATGCTAGTGACCTTTTGAAGTGGCAATATAGTAGTGTGAAGAAAATATGTGACTTTGATGATTGTCCTTCCTTATAATCGCAGCTTCGGATTCCTGCTTGTAGATCTTTTGGTAACAATAGTCCTTCCTTTTAACAGTCTAGTAAACTTGTATTTGAGATGTAGACGATTTTGTTTTGTATTCCTTATGTTGATATTAAGAGGATAAAACGTTTCTTCTGTGGTAGTCGTCCCACTCTGTTGGTTTCTACAGTTTTTGAATTATATCCTTCTTCTTTAAACAAAACAGAGGATGGAGACAAAGAGAATCATATGGAATTATGGATAGACTTAACTTATAAACAGGTTAAGAAGTTTTATTTGAAGTAATTAGTAATTACCATATATATATCCTAACCAGGTTATTTAACAATCTTGTCGTACAAGTACCAAATGTTTAGGAAACAATGGTGGAAATCTAATAACTTGAAACAAGAAAAAATACCACACAAATATTCTTCCATTTATACGGAGGTTAATAATAGATCATATTAATACCAAATAAACGACAACACTTGAAGAAAAAACTCAAACTTTTATAGAATGATCCTGATATGGTTGAGGTCGAGATTGACATCGTCGTCATCATCATCATCATCGTCGCAGAGATCGGAGATCAAAAGAGAGAGAGAAAGAAACGCAGGAGTGATGAAGAAAATGAGTCCAAGAGGAACCATCCAAAGATTAGAATTTGTGGGATGGTACTTGTAAAGCCAATAACTTAGAAACAACCCTCCACATATATTCACAATCATGGAATATAAGAACACCATTGACGACGTACTCTTCTTCTCTTTCCTAATTGTCCTCTTCTTCATGTTGGTGTTCATGTTGCTTTCGTGGTTCATTTGCAAGAGGGTCGAATTAGCAAGTAATGATTCAGGCTTTTTATTAATTTTACAGGGAATTAGGTGAAGTGAAAGAACAGAGGGATGACAATAATAGATTTTATATTGTTAGAGTGTATGAGTAAGTATATATGCAGTCAGGTTTCGGTTCGTGTATGTCGGTTTAGAAAGTATAATATCAAATTCAAACCCGGTTTTATTTGTTGGTTTGAGTCTGAATGTAGACTTTGTTTTTGGGTTTTAGCTTACGTTTAGACCAATTCGATCCTCTTGCAAATGAACCACGAAAATGTATGTTTAGACCAAAACGAACATCCAAGTAATGTTGCTTTCGTACCTAAAACCCGACTCCGGTTTAGTTTAGTAAATGTATAAAAGGGCAATTCTAAAAGAGATAATACATTTTATGTTATGTATTCTAAAATTATCACATAAAAAAAAAATCCTACAATTCCAAAAAACACACACAAAAGTTTTGATTTAGAAATAGTTTTGACTGTATTTCCCAAATTATGGTATTTTAAGAACTAGATTTTAGTTTTTGAGGTATTTTATAATAGTACTCCAAGTTATAATTTCTGTTACGAGGCGACAATAAACGTGGGAGAGGAAGGGCAAAAAACGGTGCCGTGTGGTGCAACTAGATTTACGTATTTGTACATACTCACGATTGAATCTTTGAAGACATTATATGCTTTGTTATTGGCATATATCAGTTTTTTAAAAAAAATTAATTAATAAGAAACACAATCTGACCCGACTCTACTATTTATAGTTTTATACGTATGAATATCTAACTTCGTTACTAAAACGGCAAATAATAAACCCTGAAGACAAACTATGTGAGGAAACAGTTAGGTCCCTTGATCATCTTTGTTCAACAAAAGAAAATGGAAGCATAAAGAAGAATTTTTATATCAGAAAAAAAATTCGAAATTATCATCATCATACATTCATACGTTATCAAAAAAATCATCATTTAGAGTTTCATACAAATGCTTTTAGTATCACCCATTTTCATTTTCAAAATGTACCATCAATTTGATGATCATTTGTCGTCAAATTGTAGTTGCAGACTTGCAGTTAGTTATGCAGAATTAAATTTAGTTGGGCCCTAAATTTTTATTCACAAAAAGTCTTTCTAGCTAGAAGAAGTGAACAATATTAATGGGCCAGTTTTATATGGGCTACACACCAATAATATGTCTGTTGAAATCATATATGTATGCAGGACTCGGCTGTTCGGTCTACTGGAACTACAAACCGAGCTATACCGATAAGTAATACAAATCAAACCAAATAATAATTTTGGTTTATATGGTTTATAATTTTGGTCAATAAATTCGATCTCATCATAACCAGGAAAAAAATCTAAAATAAATCAAACAAAATCTGGAATGAAGAAGTTCAAATTGATAACCAAATGGAATTGCTTTCATACGATGGTGACGTGATACTATTGTACCGGACTTAAGAAAAAACATATATAAAACAGCTCAATTATTGAAATGAGTGGTTCAGTGTGCATTATTGCATTTTCTTTTGTTCGTAATATACTAATATATCTCGAAAAATTATTGTATCGTTATTATTAGTTATGCGATAAACCATCAACTCGCTGTCTGCCACACTTTATAATTTTCTGCGTGTTTTGGCTTTATTATGTAATTACCCAAAAAATAGATATGTAAGAAAATAAGAGAAATAAATAAAGGAAAGAAGAAAAATAAAAACATTATCACATTCTGTGTCATCATCTCTAAGTTTATCAGGAAGGATATGTGGGGTTCATATTCTTCATACAGTTTTTTTTTTTTTTTTTTTTTTTTTTTTTTTTTTTTTTTTTCATACAGTTACTTTTGCTCACATGGAAAGATCAACTACATATTTCAGTTATGTTTTTATTCTTTATCATACATATAAATTCTAATAATCAATTTTAGAACCGTTACATAAAATTCTGACAAACAAAAACAAACAGCTACATAAAATTCAGTATTTCTACAAAAATAAGTATATGCGAATATTCAGTTTAGAAATTTTGACCAAGATAACAATAATCATTTAACTACAATCATTTGATATATGTATTTATTTTCTTAGATAGTTTCCAACTTCTAACTATATATAGAAGAAAAAAAAGTTATATTTTGAGAATAATTTCTACATGAAAACGATGGCACATACAATTTTATCAAAAAATATGATAACAGTTAACTTTGAACATGAGTAGATCACTGAAAGATATACTCATATACATAAAAGATTAAGGACATCAAATCACATTCCTTAAAATAAAACCATATCCACATAAATTTAAACTAGATTGGAGTTTACAAAAAAAATAGAAAAAGATTTGTGGAATTTATATGAAATGAAGAATGTACGTACACAAGTACAAATACACGGGACTGACGCGGAACAGCAAAATAATATTTTGACATTACGTGGCGCATAGGACCCACATGACGCGCGTGAATCCCACTCTCTCCTATTAAATCTCTCGCTCGTCCACTTCCTCTCGTCCGCCTTAAAACCAGCCACTAGGAAGAGAGAAGAGATTCGGAGGATCACATTGAAAGATTTGCCGCCGATCGAGAGCCGTTGAGTTTTGTGATTTTCTCAATCGGAAGAAGAAGAAAATGAGTGGGAGCAGAAGGAAGGCGACGACGCCGGCGAGTAGGACGCGAGTAGGGAATTATGAGATGGGAAGAACTCTAGGAGAAGGAAGCTTCGCTAAGGTGAAATACGCGAGGAACACCGTCACCGGAGATCAAGCCGCTATCAAAATCCTTGACCGAGAAAAGGTCTTCCGTCACAAAATGGTCGAACAGGTTCGTGTCGTAATTGTGTTTGGTTTGATTACGAAAGCACGTAAAGATTATGGATTTGTTTTTTTTTTTTTTATGTATAAAGAACAGTTTAATTTCGTGATTACGGACCCACATGTCCTAGGTTGGGGTTAGGTTATTAAGGTTAATGATTGATTAAAGTTTTAAACTAATATTAAAAAATATCGTAATTTGTATGAATGTTCTGCTTCTGTATATACGAATTTGAAGATCTTGGAATCTATCTATGTATACGATGCTGATCTTTGTTTTTTTATTTTGGTTCGATGGAATCTGAAGAAGATTTAGTTTTGTATGCTATGATTGGAAGTTATGAGCAAGATCTTGAAGATATAATGAGCATAAAGTTTTTGTTGTTGTTGTTGTTGTTGTTGTGCAGCTTAAAAGAGAGATATCGACGATGAAATTGATTAAACATCCAAATGTGGTTGAAATCATTGAGGTATGAATCTAATTAGTTATCATTCCTATATACTTAGATAAAGTTTTGAATCTTAGCGTGTAAAACATCTCTCTATATGTAGGTTATGGCAAGCAAAACGAAGATCTATATCGTTCTTGAGCTTGTCAATGGAGGTGAACTCTTTGATAAAATCGTAAGTAACCTAACTTAGAGACTCTTCCTTTCTTTTCTCTTCACAAATATTGAGATATTCTCTGTCTTTCTCTCTTCTTACTTATGTTATTCTTGGATTTGAATGATACATAGGCGCAACAAGGGAGGCTTAAGGAGGATGAAGCTCGGCGATATTTTCAGCAGCTCATCAATGCTGTGGATTACTGCCACAGTCGAGGTGTCTACCACAGAGATCTCAAGGTCTTTTATTTTGTTTTTGTGCGGTCTTCTTATTTCCTCCTATATTATGATATTCATCATGTGTTTCATCTTATGACCTGTTTCTTGTTGCAGCCTGAAAATCTTATCCTTGATGCAAATGGGGTTTTAAAAGTCTCTGATTTTGGGCTAAGCGCCTTCTCACGACAAGTTCGGGTAATGTCACTTGATTTTTCACTTGGAGATCATGGAAACTTGGCAATTAATTTCTGATATATATAACCAAGATATCAATTTGAATGAAGTGTTCTAAGCCTTATTCTTTTGAATGCAGGAAGATGGTTTGCTTCACACAGCTTGTGGAACGCCAAACTACGTTGCTCCTGAGGTATTATATACTAGCTTTCTGCACTTTAAAAGGCAAAGTATATGAAATAATCTGTAGATTCTCGTTGGAAAATAAGGGTTTAAGGAATTCAAGAAGTACTTTTAAAAAAGGAAGAAAATCTAACAAATGAGATAGAGTCATGTATATGTAGACTTCATTTGCAGAATCTTCTTTATTTATGATGTATATTAAGATATATGCATTTTGTTGGATTTGCGGGCAGGTTTTGTCAGACAAAGGCTATGACGGTGCAGCAGCAGATGTCTGGTCTTGTGGTGTTATTCTCTTTGTGCTCATGGCTGGTTACTTGCCTTTTGATGAGCCAAATCTCATGACATTATACAAACGTGTACGTGTAAACATTTCTCTTCCTCTGCTTCTTACTTACTTTTTCTGCAGTACTTTTCTAGTCTCATCTTTGGTGTGTAACATCATATACTTCAGATATGCAAGGCTGAGTTTAGCTGCCCACCATGGTTCTCTCTAGGTGCCAAGAGAGTCATTAAGCGCATTCTCGAACCCAATCCTATAACCGTAAGTGCCTCTTACATGAATGAATAGTTGTCAAATGTGAACATGAGATGCTGCCAACCATACATCAAATGGTCTAAACTGTGCAAGAGCTTAACTATGTACTTATTTTCTGAAATGCAGAGAATAAGTATTGCAGAGCTACTAGAAGATGAATGGTTCAAGAAAGGGTACAAGCCGCCATCATTTGACCAAGATGATGAGGACATAACCATAGATGATGTTGATGCTGCTTTTAGTAACTCCAAGGTGAAAAACCACCAATTCTCCATCTGAATGTGTACTCTAGGAATGTATTGTATTACCAACTAATATTACTGTTTTGTGCTACTACTCTAGGAATGTCTTGTAACAGAGAAGAAGGAGAAACCGGTATCCATGAACGCTTTCGAACTTATCTCTAGCTCAAGCGAGTTCAGTCTTGAAAACTTGTTCGAGAAGCAAGCGGTACGAACTTTTTTCTACTTACAGTTTGTCTTGATTTTCTAAAATCATGCATAGGTTTTGTCTAACTAAAGCTGATTTGTTGTTGGTCGCAGCAACTTGTGAAGAAAGAAACGCGGTTTACTTCTCAAAGATCTGCGAGTGAAATAATGTCGAAAATGGAAGAAACCGCAAAGCCATTAGGTTTCAATGTCCGTAAAGACAACTACAAGGTTTGTTCTTCTTCTTGACTTTCTCTGTGTCAATTAATATCTTTGTGTATTCATTAAACATTGTTTGATCAAATCGCAGATAAAAATGAAAGGAGACAAAAGTGGTCGTAAAGGTCAGCTCTCCGTAGCTACAGAGGTAAGAAAAAAAAAAACAGATAGGAATGATAAATATCCCAGTTTGATGAATACCGGTATCTAATTTTTTGGTTTGGTTATCGGTATTATAGGTGTTTGAAGTGGCGCCATCGTTGCATGTGGTAGAGCTTAGGAAAACCGGCGGTGATACCCTCGAGTTTCACAAGGTATTTGTTTCGGTTTAATCTTCATCAAAAAAAAACGGTTTTTGATCCGGTTAACATCTCTAATTTATTTGTTTTAATTGGGTTTTATGTTTAAATATCTTTTGCAGTTCTACAAAACCTTCTCATCAGGATTAAAGGATGTAGTCTGGAATACTGAAGCAGCCGCTGAAGAACAAAAGCAATAAGAAATAGCAAGTTGCTCAATTCAAAGTTTTTAATTAAAGTTGAACATGTTTAATGAATAGTAAAAAATTCTGAGAGTTGGCAACATAGAAATATTATTGCTGGCAAAAAAGCCAAACCTAGAAGTGGGTAGATCCGTAGGTTAGCCAATAGCCATATGCGATCATCCTCAAAACTCGGATTGGTTTACTTCTATAAGTCAAAGTTCAAACAATTCAATTAGTCAGACTCGGGAAGTTCGCTATTTGAGTATAGTTGAAACAATGTTGTCACTTTATGGCTACTGTTGGCAACGCGTTACAATGACACAACATAGATAACAATTTGGAAAACACAACGATAGAATAATTAAAGAGAGGCAAAAAAAAGTTATTTTAGCTATAAATCTACTTACCAAATAAAACTGAGTATAAAGTTTTATTTTGATTTTTTTTTCAAAAAAAAAAAGAAGAGAGTTTTGTTTTGTACTAATGGGATTGGTTAATAAATGGGAATTGCAACTCAAATAGTGATTTTACAACAGAAACAAATGTTGAATATAGCCAAGGATATGGATATAGATTGTCGATGTCTACGATAAAACTAGCAATGAAATTGTGGCGGTAAAAAAAAGACTTGATGATTTGTCACTATTATGTTGCTAATCCATAGATTTTTCTATAACAAATTACTACGATTTGGCAACAGAAACATATGACAAATTTTATTGATTTGGCGATTGATGATATTGACATTTTCAATATCGAATTTTAGTAGTTTCTTGGCACCAAATGGATTCGGATAATTCAAGATCAAATATTATATTTACATATATTATAGCAATAGATAACAGGTAATCAAGGTTAAATAATCGGTAAAAATTAAACAATTTTGTTTTAAAAACCATTAAATCGATAATACTATTATACCGAAGATTCATTTATGTTGCAACCTTTTAAACCATTAAATCGATAATACTATTTTCGCATGTAAGGCTATTATGTCGTTTATTTATGTTGCAACCTTTTAAAATTATTGTGTAAGATGTGATTGTGTACATTCACATATTGATGACGGAGTAGTTTCTAGTTAGTTGGTTTTGTTAAAAAAAAAAAAAGTTACTAGTTAGAGCAACAACAATGGTTGAGTCTTTAAAAGGATTCTTAAACATATTTTAATCATAAATTATGACAATTTTAAGGTTAAGAGTTTTTGATGAATCCTTAAAAATTTGTTTGTCCAATGGTAGAGTCCTTAAGTGGGTTTCTTACTTTCTTTAAAAAAAAACATTATTTTTAAAATGAAAAATTAGCACATTTTTTATTTTTATGTGATAAAACTTAATAGTTATTACAATTTCTTAAAATTTTAAACATACATAACATAAATATATAAAAAAATACAAATCAAAATCGGAATAAGGATTAGTCTTTAGCTTTGGATTTCGCTTTGAGCTTCAATTCTACATTTTATGAGATGATATCATGTGTTTGCAAGCTTATTCTGCTCTCTATCTATCACTGGTGAAAATTCCAACACACTTGTGAAAAGGAAATAATTCTCTGAAGGAGAATATTGGTTTTGGTCTGATGTTGTGGTTGTCTTGGTCCTACTTAAAGCATTCAATGTTGTTATCATCTTTGGTGAAACTGAATCACTGGTTATGAAATTGCGATTGAAATTAAGATCACTGCTCTGTTATATAATGCAACTATCCATTGTCTAATCTTCGAAAGAACTTGTGAAAAACTCTCACACTTGTATAACTTTGAAGAAAGTATTTACAGTATTGTTTAGCAATATGGAAAAACAAAATGAAAGGTAATTTTGACATACAAAGTCTTCTCCTCATGCTTTTCTCATTGGTTACAACACTCTTCTCATTCTTAGTTGCCATCTTTTTCAGCTTACCTTTGAAATTGCTAAACCTATTCACCATCTTCTGCTTACTAAGCCGTGACAATATCCCTTGTTCTTTAGGCTTCTCTTGTTGTTGACTATGATGATGATCGTCGATGTCAATGTCATCTTCAAAACGTCAAAAAGAAAAAGATCAGAGACATACGCCAAACTCAAATATTGCATCACGGAAGGACATCAAAAGTGGACCATACCTATGTCTAGCTCTTCTTCAGAGAAACAGAGAGACATACAAAACAGAGATTCAACTTGATATCAAATCCGAATGGAAACAAACAATCTAAAGGCAAAAAATCGTCTTTAATCATGTCTAATAACGAAGAAAGAGACTGATTATGTATTCAAAGCAACCTAATTGCGTTTACATCAAAGAACCCTAATTTATCTTTCATCAATTCCCAATTCGACAAACCCTAATTTCGATAACATCTAAAAAAAACAAATTCATCACGATCTACACAATCAAGTTTCTTCGGATTTTCTCTTCCGATTTGATGATCCACCGTCGGATGATGATGATCGAGACCTTGTTCTTTCTCTGTCGCCTTCGGAGAACACAAGAGAAGAGAGAGAGATCGTGAAATGAAACGGGAAAGAAAAAATTAATTTGTTTTCTCAGTCCACAAATCATGAGAAACTGACACGTATGGAACTCTTGCAGACAAAAAAAAACTCTAAGATTAGGTACGTTCCTTAGCTTAATTCACATTTTAAATTTAATTTTTGCTTTTTTCTTAAGGATTCATAGTTTAAGAGTCTCTTTAGGGCCACCGTTGGACTTGCTCTTAGTTGGTAACTTGGTATAAAGCCGACCAACATTAATCGTCCAACAAGTTCTCAGTGTTGTCTAATCTTTCAAATCAAAAAGCCCATAGAGTCTCTTTTTTTTTTGTCAAAAGCCCATAAAGTCTCTTTAACAACAGTTTAGCCGATTTCGGATTACGAAGTTTTTTAGAATGGAGAAACGTTCAGATACAGAGAGTTCAGAAGAGATTTTGGGTGATTGGGATTTAACTCCTCCGGTGGATCCGGAAGAAAGAGTCGTAATGGTTTCTGTTCCACCAGAATCTGATTACGCGAGACCGAATCAACCGAAAGAGATCGAAACTAGGGTTTCAGACAAGGAAAGAAACGTCGCCGGAGAATCATCGGCAAGGAGAGTGTTGCCGCCGTGGATGGATCCATCATATGAATGGGGTGGTGGAAAATGGAAAGAAGACGGAAGAAAGAAGAAGAAGAAAGATAAAGAGAAAGAGAAAGAGAAAAAGAAAGAAGAGATTATTCCTTTCAAAGAAATTATTGAAGCTCTGCTTCGAAACTCCGGTGATAAGGTTCAAGAAGACAAGGTTAAACAAAGTCAGAGCTCTGTTGAGATGTTGAAATCATTAGGCTTTAAGTTTCCTTAATTTGTAAACTTTTGGGGTTTTTTTATTAATTTAATCGGCTTTAGTTTTTGTTGTTGCAGAAAGTATGTAAGCTTTTTCCTCAATCTTCTAAAAATCTAATTTGTGGAATTTTTTTTTTACTTATGACTGATGTAAAATATGCCACTAGTTAATGTATCTTGTGGGTTTGAAGAACTTATTGAAATTCTGGATATCTGATTATGAAACTAAGAAATCGATGATTTGCAAGGTAATGATATGTCTTGATTTTCTAAAATCATGCATATGCTTTTGTCTAACTAAAGCTGAGTTGTTGTTTACTTCTCAACGATCTGCAAGTGAAATAATGTCGAAAATGGAAGAAACCGCAAAGCCACTGGGCTTCAATGTCCGTAAAGACAACTACAAGGTTTGTTCTTCTTCTTGATTTTCTCTGTGTCAATTAATATCTTTGTGTATTCATTAAAAGGAAAAATGTCGTTAAAATCCCCAACTTATTCAAAACGTTGATTTAAATCCTCAACTCACGACGAAACGAAATAAATATCAAACTTATGTTGACTTTCCAAATAAATATTAAACTTATGTTGACTTTCCAAATAAACACCAAACTTTTATTGACTTGGCCATATTAGGCATGACGTTAAGTGAGTTAACAGACAATATTAACGGGATTAATTCTCTGTTAACAGACCCGCTAATTAAAAATGACAGTATTGTTGAACTATAATCAAATCTCATCTAAGTCATATAACCTAAATTCGTATTCATATAAATTAGTTATTTACGTAAGAGTCACGAATGTACGTACGTATAATTGTGTCTGTACGTAAAGTGGTGTCTTTTCGATTAACACATGTACGTACACGTTGTTTCGTGTTGTATAAGTAGATCGAGTCAAACTCAATAACATCATTGTGTGTAATACATTTTATCTTATCAATAAAGATCAAGTTTCTTCATACTCTATTTTTCATTTTGGTTTTGTTCTTCATACTCTGTTAAAACAGAGTTCGTTTGTTGATCAAAACACTAACAAGTATTCCTTCTAAACATAAAACGACGTTGTTTTGTCGTAACTGTTCAATAAAATCCCGAGTTTCAAATCATACTCTATTTAGGGTTAGGGATTTTGCTCGATTTGGGGATCTAAGATTGTCTTTAGGGATTTAATTCAATCGTTACGACAAAACGACGTCGTTTTGTTGTTATATGAAACAATATCGTTATCAATTAACATATATGTTAACAGAAAATTACCTCCGTTAACGAGATCTATTAACTCACTTAACGTCGTACCTAATATGGCCAGGTCAACGGAAGTTTGATATTTATTTGGAAAGTCAACATAAGTTTGATATTTATTTGGAAAGTCAACATAAGTTTGATATTTATTTCGTTTTGTCATGAGTTGAGGATTTATTAACCCACTTAACGTCGTACCTAATATGGTCAGGTCAACGGAAGTTTGATATTTATTTGGAAAGTCAATGAAAGTTTGGTGTTTATTTGGAAAGTCAACATAAGTTTAATATTTATTTGGAAAGTCAACATAAGTTTGATATTTATTTCGTTTCGTCATGAGTTGAGGATTTAAATCAACGTTTTGAATAAATTGGGGATTTTAATGACATTTTTCCCATTCATTAAACATTGTTTGATCAAATTTCGAACAAAAGTGGTCGTAAAGGTCAGCTCTCCGTAGCTACAGAGGTAAGGAAAAAAAAAAAAACAGATAGGAGTGATAAACACCCCGGTTTGGTACGGTATTCGGGTTTTGATGAATACCGGTACTTAACTTTTTGGGTTTGGTTATCGGTTTTATAGGTGTTTGAAGTGGCGCCATCGTTGCATGTGGAGAGCTTAGGAAAACCGGCGGTGATACCCTCGAGTTTCACAAGGTGTATGTGTTTCGGTTTAATCTTCATCAAAAACCGGTTCGGTTTTGATCCGGTTAACATCTTTGATTTATTTGTTTTAATTGGGTTTATTTATGTTTAAATATCTTTTGCAGTTCTTTCTCATCAGGATTAAAGGATGTAGTCTGGAATACTGAAGCAGCCGCTGAAGAACAAAAGAAATAAGAAATAGCAAGTTGTTCAATTCAAAGTTTTTAATTAAAGTTGAACATGTTTAATGTATAGTAAAAAATTCTGAGAGTTGGCAACATAGAAATATTATTGCTGACAAAAAAGCCAAACGTAGAAGTGGGCTATAGAGGTAGATCCGTAGGTTAGCCAATAGCCATATGCGATCATCCTCAAAACTCGGTTTGGTTTACTTTTGATTTTGAGTCAAACCTATAAGTCAAAGTTTAAACAACTCAATTAGTCATACTCGGGAAGTTCGCTATTTGAGTATAGTTGAAACAATGTTGTCACTTTATGGCTACGGTTGCAACGCGTTACAATGACACAATATCGATAACAATTTGGAAAACACAATGATAACTGAGTATATTGTTCTATTTCGATCATTTTTCAGAAATTGCAACTCAAATAGAGATTTTACAACAAAACAACTGTTGAATATAGCCAAGGCCCGAGGATATGGATGTAGATTGTTCCATATCTACGATAAAACTGGCAATGAAATTGTGGCGGATAAAAGACTTGATCATTTGTCGCTATTATGTTGCTAATCCATAGATTTTTCAATAACAAATGACTACGATATGGCAACAGAAACATATGACAGATTTTATTTATTTGGTGATTGATGATATTGACATTTTTCAATAGTTCACAAATTGGATTTGGATTATTCGTGATCATTTTTTTTATTTTTTGGACAAACTCGTTATTAAATATTTATATTTACATATATTAGCATGAAATAACAATCACAGTTTTTATTAATCGAGTACTAAAATTTTTTGTTTTGAAAACCATTAAAATCGATAATATTATTATACTGAAGATTAAAATAGACAAAATAATTACTGTAATCGTTAAAAATGATTAGTGAAAGTTTCAACTTAATGAACATTCGGTATTTTGAAGCATACTAGTAGTACTGTTCATATTATACCGCCAACACCAACCTTTTTCGCTTGTTTTTTTTTTTTTTAAACCTTTTTCCGCTTGTTTTATGTAGGCTATATCGTTTATTTATGTTGCAACCATTTAAATTGTTAGTCCTTTTTAAATTATTGTATAGATGTGAGGGTGTACATTCACACATTGATGACAGACTGGTTTCTAGTTAGTTGGTATTAAGCCGACCAACATTAATTGTTGGTTTATGTCTACACATGGGTACTAGTCTTCCATTTATTATCATTATTTCCTTTATTTTACAAATTAATACTTTGATCTGTTTATTGATTAATTCTCCATTGTTCATTATACTGAACATGCATATACACAAACCCAATTATATGAATTATTAGCATCTGACGAACTGGATCGTTCTAGTATTGAAGTTTGAGAGTTGGTACGTACTGTTGAAACATGTGTTTCATGCACTAATCACGATTCATCGAAACGACGTCGCTGCCTTTTGTCTTACTCTTTGTTTTCTTTCTCTCTATTATTGCCCAGTAATCACGACATTAGAAATGATTAACTAAGAATAAATTTACATTTTATCAATAACTTTATCCCAATGAAAAAAAAAACAGAGATAATAAGTCCACTTTGGGACCTAAAATCCGAGCATTTTACCTACAAAGCTACAAGCTACAAGCTACAACTACCCGTCCGAGGTCTATTTTGGACACCTTGGCACAATCAATTGTATTATAGATACAAAAATACTCGAAAACTAGATTAAAAAATACTCCAAAATTAATTACTTCTTCATAAAATTTAAAATATGGAATTAGTTCAAGGGTCCCTTATATAAACGTCTTAATGAAGACAGCAAAATTATAAATGATAATGACAACAATATTGGAACAGCTAATAGGGATGGTATATAGTGGAAAAACAAATCGATTTGTGTTAATATTAAGAAGTAATATAATTCACTATCATCAATTTACCATGGCCCATAATAAGGAGTTTGTATGCATGTGGGATACACATTTATACAAAAAATAACAAAATTTGAATATTTGGGACACGCTTTCGTCTACCCTTATTCTTGCAATTTGGACAGGGAACGCTTCTCATGAATGAAAGAAACGTTTCTCGATCGAAACACGTTCTCCCTTTTAACTTAGAATGTACTAAAAAATATTTCATCAACTTATAATATATATCCAATAGGTAATTTTAAAACTTTACCTCACTCAGTTTTTGGATATAATATATAAACTTGCTAATGAAGCAAGAAAAACGTCATGGGAGTCTGAAACGTTTTGGTTTAACTATAAGGAAATACATAATAAAGCGTTCATATAATTTGTTGTTATTGTAGTGGTGTAATTAGCAAATTAGGTTAAACCAAAATAGAAAGTTAAGATGCCTTAATTTATGTGTGGAAAAAAAGATAACCAAATTTATGATCTACCATAGTATGACTTATGAGATTCAGCTAGGTTTTGTTAAGACTTTTATAACTTGCATTTCGTGTGAACAAAACATGACAAATAATCTGACTACTTAATTTAATATCAAGGTCCCATATAAGTAGTTGAGCTAATAGTAGTATCTCGGAACCACCCACCATTAAATTCGAATATTATTCCATCTTTTTATTTTTTGTTAAGTCATACTATTATTAATTTTTTTTTTATATTTTCTCTTTCTTGCACTTAATAGCAACTCTATATATCTCTCCATTCCTACTTGCCCTCATTTCACCAAAATCCTCCTAATCCACCAATTTTAGAATTCTCATTCTCGTTTTCTCTCTCTTTCCCTTTCTCCAAATTTGCCTAAAGATTAATCATTTACATTTTTTCTTCATTAATCCTTGATTACAGTTTGAAATATTTCGACCCAAAACTATACTGATGGAGAGAACAAACAGCATTGAGATGGATCGAGAGAGATTAACGGCGGAGATGGCGTTTCGAGATTCATCATCGGCCGTTATAAGAATCCGGAGACGTTTGCCGGATTTGTTAACGTCCGTTAAGCTCAAATACGTGAAGCTTGGTCTTCACAACTCTTGCAACCTCACCACCATTCTCTTCTTTCTAATTATTCTTCCCTTGACCGGAACCGTGCTGGTTCAGCTAACCGGTCTAACGTTCGATACGTTCTCTGAGCTTTGGTCTAACCAGGCGGTTCAACTCGACACGGCGACGAGACTCACCTGCTTGGTTTTCCTCTGCTTCGTTTTGACCCTCTACGTGGCCAACCGGACTAAACCGGTTTACCTAGTTGACTTCTCTTGCTACAAACCGGAAGACGAGCGTAAAATATCGGTGGATTCGTTCTTGACGATGACGGAGGAAAATGGATCGTTCACCGATGACACGGTTCAGTTCCAGCAAAGAATCTCGAACCGGGCCGGTTTAGGAGACGAGACTTACCTGCCACGTGGCATAACGTCAAAACCCCCGAAGCTAAATATGTCAGAGGCACGTGCCGAAGCTGAAGCAGTTATGTTCGGAGCCTTAGATTCCCTCTTCGAGAAAACCGGAATTAAACCGGCCGAAGTTGGAATCTTAATAGTAAACTGCAGCTTATTCAATCCGACGCCGTCTCTATCAGCGATGATCGTGAACCATTACAAGATGAGAGAAGACATCAAAAGCTACAACCTCGGAGGAATGGGTTGCTCTGCCGGATTAATCTCAATCGATCTCGCAAACAACCTCCTCAAAGCAAACCCTAATTCTTACGCTGTCGTGGTAAGCACGGAAAACATAACCCTAAACTGGTACTTCGGAAATGACCGATCAATGCTCCTCTGCAACTGCATCTTCCGGATGGGCGGAGCTGCGATTCTCCTTTCTAACCGCCGACAAGACCGGAAGAAGTCAAAGTACTCGCTGGTCAACGTCGTTCGAACGCATAAAGGATCAGACGACAAGAACTACAATTGCGTGTACCAGAAGGAAGACGAGAGAGGAACAATCGGTGTCTCTTTAGCTCGAGAGCTCATGTCTGTTGCCGGAGACGCTCTGAAAACAAACATCACGACTTTAGGACCGATGGTTCTCCCATTGTCGGAACAGTTGATGTTCTTGATTTCATTGGTCAAAAGGAAGATGTTCAAGCTAAAAGTGAAACCGTATATTCCGGATTTCAAGCTAGCTTTCGAGCATTTCTGTATTCACGCAGGAGGTAGAGCGGTTCTAGACGAAGTGCAGAAGAATCTTGATCTCAAAGATTGGCACATGGAACCTTCTAGAATGACTTTGCACCGGTTTGGTAACACTTCGAGTAGCTCGCTTTGGTATGAGATGGCTTATACCGAAGCTAAGGGTCGGGTTAAAGCTGGTGATCGACTTTGGCAGATTGCGTTTGGATCGGGTTTCAAGTGTAATAGTGCGGTTTGGAAAGCGTTACGACCAGTTTCGACGGAGGAGATGACTGGTAATGCGTGGGCTGGTTCGATTGATCAATATCCGGTTAAAGTTGTACAATGATTTGTTGAACCGGATAATTATTATATGTAATTGTGTTCTTCTTTTTTTTTTATGTAAGTTGTCGATTGAAAATCATAATTTAATTAATTTATGGATGTGTGTTTGGTATATGTTAGTTGATTATTCACACTTTTGATAAACCAGAAATTTGAAAATTTAACTTAAGTCAAACAGAATTCTAATCCACTATACCTGCGTTCACACACATGACTGAATCTGAATGACACACCCATAAAGCATAACTTGCATACTACTGTCAAATATACTAATCTACGCTGGCTCCAAATTCCAATTAATTTATACACCTTTTTTCTTTTTATTGTCCTGCGATTTTTTATTTTTTTTTTCCTATTGTCCTGCGAATTTGTGGTGTAGATTCATTCATTCAACAATTTGGATTTTTTTTTTTTGGACCAAACGTTATCCACTACTATTCCATAGATTTTAATTTTTTTTTTTTTCATTTTCTTAAAGCTCAACATTATATAATGTTATATTTCGACCACATATTATAGAATGTATATTCGTCTTCTAACGGAAGAGAGTCAATGAGAGAATCTAAGAAAATATACAAACAATTCCATTACAATTTCTCTTGGTTCTTGAAAGCCTTGAACCATTAGTTCGGTCAACAACTCTGTATAGGTCAAGTTAGTTGAACCAGCATCAGCGTATAACTAGTTGGCTGCTGCCAACATATAACAACCAAAAAAAGCAAAAACATTAAATTTTATAAAAAACCATGTCAGATTTGCCAGTGTCTTGAGTAGTCTTCATTGCACGAGACCTTTGAGCATAATAAATGTAACACGTTTTCCACTTTTTCCAGGAGGCTGATTACTTCACCATGCCAGCTCCTTATGTTTTTCTGTTCAGTACTTGGTAGATCTCTTTAATGCCCATTGGGCCGTGTAAGAGAAGACCATGACCCCCACTACATGTGCTGGGATCATATATGTCGCACCTTCGAAGTCTTCTTACCATACACTTAAATCCCCATAAGTTCACTGTCTAGGTCCATTAATGTCGTTTTCCTAAAAGCCCATTTTAAATATGGGACATAAAAGGGTTTTAAACTGCCAGAACTAGCAACCCCTGCCGTTCTAGTTCAGCAGAGGTTAACTACGTGCCGTTTAGGAGTTTCTCCTTTTCTTATTGGAGAAACGTTTGAGTTTCACTGTTTTTTTTTTCTTTGCTCAAACATTGTTGATTTGTGTATCAATTTTTCTGTTTTTACTGACTATAGACATTAGATATAATTTTAATTTACAAAATGATGATATTATTCCAAAAGAAAAAAAAAGCTTGGATAGAAAACAATAGATATTTATCAGAGGTGGAAAGTGATATGGAATTGTGTGTGAACGTCAAAAAGACAAGACTTGTGATGTTGGGGAATCATGTCACATGGGGTGATGTCCTCTGCTCGTGTTTCAAGTAGCAAAGTTGCAGCTTTTTACATTTTTAGCTCATTCTCTAAAGGTTTACGAGTCTCACTTTTGCATCAAAATCATCAAAAACGGTAATTCTGGGGCTAAAGTGCATGATTCAAATCTTTTTAGCCAAAATTTTTAATCCTGCAAAAGGCCAAAAAAAAAATGATCTAAAAGCCATTCATTTAAGAAACAGAGAGAGATTTGTATATGTCACTGTTATTTCTTCTTCTTTTAACTATCTGATGATTTGTTATCTGAAACAGACTCTATATTTTAACATATTGCAATTTGTTGGCTTTTAAAATGCAAACAAACATTCTTTTGAAAATCTACTAACTTCAACAGTATATATAATAATCAAATTAAATCATTAAACATTTCAAAATCTTAAAAAGTTACAGATCAATTGGTTAATAAATCTTTCTTCCAAATACAACTCAACCTCACACAACTAGAATGAAAATGTTTTTTCCTGGAGGACGATAAGATCGTGACCGTTGATTTGGCATCACCAACAATCATCTAAGCCAATTCCTAAAGTCACTAGTAGAAGCTGGAGAGATCTCAACACCATTAGACTCGGTGCAACATGAAGAGTAATTCGATTGCTGCTCTAACATTCCACCAAAATGTGAACCAGCCACACTCTTAAAGCTTGGACTCCTTAAGCTATTATTGTCCTCATATTCTGCTGGCGGGGGTACAGGGTACGAGAGCCGTTTCTTGACCAAACCCGCACGGTCCCTCTCGGGAGTTGAGGGTCGGTACCTCGGTGCACTCTGAGACCGGATCCTCGCCTTAGCCGACTCCGTACTGGCCATGTAATTAGGCAACAATGATGCATTATTAACCATTGTGGTACTAATGCTACATCCACTCCTAGCTGTGAAACTATAGTTAGATCTCAAGCTTGGTGTGTTTGATGTATAACTATAAGCTGCTCGGTCCCGGTCTTCCCTCGGGTCTCTCTGGCACCGTGGACTAGCTGACCGAATATGTATTGGTCTAGACTGAGCCGGAGATGGAGTGGCTGAGAAATTATTGCGGGATTGGTAATGGTGGCTAGTTCTTGATGGGGAACTAGGTCTTTGGATACGACTCGGGCTTCCTGTTCTTGTTTTTGAGTAAGGCTGAGAAGCGTCGATTTCAACGGTTTTAACTGAAACCCTTTGGTCAACCGAAGCTCTACTACTAGCTCGTTTATCCCACGGTCTGGTAGCCATCCACCGGTCAAGCCATTTTGGTCTTTCCTCCTCAAGTTCTACCTCGTGGTCTCCTCCCACGGATTGGTTACGAACCGTTCTCCACATCTATCCATTGAAACGAAAATGTGTTATCAACAAGTTCTGTATATATACTTTTAAGCATTTTTGCCGGTTAAGTTAATTTTACCTGTTGAGAGAAAGCTTGAGACAAATTAGTCTTCTCATGTCTCAATGCTGTGTCCCGTCTCCGTTGTAGCATCGCTTTCACTTCGTCTATCGTGTGTGGTCGGTCATCCCAATCTTCCGCGGCGCTGCTTCCTTCTCTTGACTACAATAAATACATAACCAAATTCCAAAAGACATTAGCCACCATATGAAATTACACAATTAACAAAAATATATGCTTAAGATGTTTAAATTGTGAGTTGATTTGAAAAATATACAATAAATGTTAACGTAAACAAACAGTCAAGGCACACAAATTCTACAGAACCTATGTGAATGCACCACAAAATTAGACAAGCATGCTAAAAACAGCTTAACCATATGTATATGCAAAACATGTCTATAACTATAAGAACATCAATTAATTATGCTATAGTTTAGGCAAGGCCTAAAAGGCTATACTAACCATGGATTGTCGATCTGATATCTCTTGAAGATAGCGAGATTCATAAACAGCGTGAGAGTCGCTGAACGCGGATTTGCGACTACCGTCATGAGACAAGCGTTTGCGTTGGTCAAGCACACGATACTGGACTCGAACCAGAGCTTGCATACATCTTAATGTCATTTTGGCTTGTTTTCTCACATTATGACCCCTCACCAATGCTTGTAGCTTCACTAACCCTTTTAATGCTCTTAATGCTCTTCTTGCCTTACCAAATTAGAAAGAACAAAACTTGGATCAAAACCAAACAAACAAAAATAAAATAAAATGTAATATCAATCTTTTAATGTTAGGTCTTGTATAACACATCATTGTCACTATAAAGTGGTCTAGAACTCAAGTTGGTTAAAAAATTTTTAAGTAAAAATATTGCTAATTAATAATTGCTCACCAAATATCCTCTGAAAGAAGTCTGGATAACAACAGCAGCGTAATTTTCTCTTGCGTAATAAATCCTTCTCGGTGCGAGTGCCTTAGATGCTGACGTGGCGATGGGGACGACGGCGGACGGAGGGTTTCCGGCGTTCGATAACGGCGTCGTCGTTGCGTAACTCGGTGCTGTCTCCGGAGAAGTTTGTGAGTTTGCGTTAACTGATTCTTGCGGTGGTGGCGGCGGAGAGATACCGGAAGACTTCACCGGAGATTCTTGAGTTGATGGCTTTCTAAACCACCGTCTCTTCTCTCTCTTCTGTTAAAAAAACAGAGCAAAGCAGAAATAAATGAAAAACAATCTCAAATTTGATTATGGTACGCAAATAATAAGATCTAATAAGAATGACAAACCTTTTCCTCATCTTCTTCGACGTCGTTATTATGATCTTTCTTGGTCGGAGATCGGAAAGCTCGTTTCACGGCGGTAAGCCAAGAAGAAGAGCCGTTCTTTTTCCCCATGTGTTTACTTCTGGTCTTAACAAAATATTACCACTCCATTGTCTTTATGTATCGCTGTTCCGTGAGCTTTAGATTTTTTCAGAAATAAGGAGAGAGAGAGAGAAACAGGAAGTACAGATAATCTTTGGTTGCTTATTTGTTTGTAAGAAGTTGTTGCTCTGTGTCTGACCACCTCCTTTACTGCAACCACGACACCAATAATTTTTCTCTTTAATAAATTTATCTTCTCGCCAAATACATATTATTAATTTATTTTGTTTGCATCGATATTAACATGAATATATTCGTTTTTGGGTCCATGTTGATTATACCGTGCGGGATAATAGGGTCGGTCATAGGGAGAGAGATTGCACGTTGTTTTAGCTCGATAATCTACAAATTACTTTCATATTTTCTGTTTATTTAACTAAATGCCAATTTTGGCTTAGCGCATGCGTTATTTTTTACTACGATTATTTAAATTTGGTTGGAATGGTAGGATGACCAAGAATAAATCGACATTCAACATAAATTGTAGTAATCATTTTTTAATTACCTGGACTGATCCATCATTCTTTACAAACTATATTAGATTAATTTCTAGTTCTTAATATGAAATATTCTAATAAGCCTACTCCTAGTGAAAGTAAAGCATCTTATAATCTAACTCTAAGAAATATCACTATAAAGCAGATCAACCAAACTGTGATAATGTTTTGGGAATCAAAGCTTCATGTTACAAAACCGTTATACTACATGATTTTGTGAAGTATAGAAAGTTTGGGAACTAATATAACTTGTGATTTTGGGACCAAGAGGAACATGGGCGGACCCACGTAGACAATAGGAAGGTCAAGTGACCTGGTTTAATTTTGAGAAAAATTATTGATTGACCCATGTTAATTTTTTCCGTTTGCACCTTTTTCACTTAAAAGGAAAAAAACATACAATTTTTTGTTTTCTTTCTTAAAGTTTTAAGAACACTTATAACATTTAATACAAAATGAGCATAAAATCCTACAAAAGATCCTATTCCCAGTTTTATATTTAATTTTATTATGGTAAAATTGCTGAAATTGCAATCTCTGTTAAATGCATACCAATAATTTCATTAGATATTTTAAAGATATGTTAAGTGTTTCTTCTATTCAAACTAATCATTTTCAATTCATCAAAAAAAACTAATCATTTTCAACATTTGTTCATTTTATTATTATAATAGTTTAACTTTGAATAATATTAAAAATACAAATTGTTTTGCTCAAAATTTATTCTTATTTTTGAAGAGATTTTTCTGTTATTTTTATTTGTAAAGTATATATGATAAAACAAATTATTTATGATTATAATTTTGTACTGGGTAAAAAAAATTTCTGGGTCCGCCATTAAAGAGGAATGTACTAGACAAAAAGGCTCCATAGTTGAAATTAACAAGAAAAAATGATATTAGATCATATGATTGATTATTAATGACTATAAATACATCAAATGAAGAATTATGTTACTGGAAAAGGACATCCATCAAGTATTGCTTGACCAAGCTCGTGCTGTCACGTGCATGATGGACCACGGTGGTCGTTCCCTAGGAACCCAACCAAACCTTTTTTTTTTTTTTTTTTAATCTGGTCAAAGTCAAATCTCTTTATTTGGGCTCTTATCTTTTATTATTCAGGGCTATTAGGTAAAAGCGAATAAAAGGCCCAATATTGAATACAAATATATCTAAAAATCTAAAATTGTAAAATGGGCCTAACTATTCGGCCCATCAAATTCTCGGACGCAAGCTTTATAACCTTTGCATCTCCCGTCTCTTTATCAAAACCCTAGAAATATTTCTCTCCAGCCGCCTTGCGAAAGCATTTTCGACCTTACTCTAAGGTACTCCATGATTCTCCATCTGATCTGTTTATACTTTTATATTGTCATTTCATCATCGTCTAGGTTGTTTGATTCACTTTAATTTTGGCTCTAAACGGGTTTAAAGTTTCGTTTTTTGGATTCTGATTTGTGAATAAGATATTAATCTTTGTTAGTTTTCTTGAATCGTTTCAGGATATAAAATGTCGACAGTTGGTGAGCTTGCTTGCAGCTACGCTGTTATGATCCTCGAAGACGAGGGTATTGCTATCACGGTATGTTTCCTTTGATTTTTGCTTTTCTATTTTGTAATTCTTGATTGGTCATGGAGTTTAAGGATTTGGAGCCGTTTCTTGTGACTTCATTGTTAGAAACTTAGTGAATATGTTGTTTTATGCAGTGGTAAGGATTTGGTAGAGTTTTAAGTCAGGAATTGAATATGTATTTGTGTTTCTGTCTGTGTTTGAATTGGTTTATAAGTTTGTGTTGAATTGGTTAATAATCTTTGCTTTTGTTTGTTTATGTCGTTGAATTTGTGTTTGATAGGCTGACAAAATCGCGACGTTGGTGAAAGCTGCTGGTGTTAGTATTGAGTCATACTGGCCAATGCTATTCGCCAAGATGGCTGAGAAACGTAACGTGACTGATCTCATCATGAACGTTGGTGCTGGTGGTGGAGGTGGTGCTCCGGTTGCAGCTGCTGCTCCAGCTGCTGGCGGTGGTGCTGCAGCAGCCGCTCCTGCTGCCGAGGAGAAGAAGAAGGTAAATGAAATAGCAACGATAAATAAAATCATTCTTCCAACGACTCTGTAATTGAAAATTGATCTGATTTTGGTAATTTGTTTTTGCAGGATGAACCAGCAGAAGAGAGTGATGGAGATTTGGGATTCGGCTTGTTCGATTAAACGCATTCACTTGTTTTTCTTCTTTGTAGTTGGTTTTTTCGATTTGAGACTATATTTTGTCGTATCTGAGTTATTATTACTTGTTTGGTCTGGCTAAAGAACGGTTTACTTGTTTTTTGAAGCATATGTTGTATAACTCAAGTTTCCGAGCAAACCAATCGGCTCGTTCTTTTGTTAGAAGTGATTTTGTTTACTTTTCTACTTCCACTGAATTCAGTTAAGAAATATAGGTCTATTGACAAAAATGAAAGATCCGATCATACACTATTGAGAATGAAGCAAAATATTAAATATAGTTGTAGATTAAAGCATTATGGGAGGCTTATTAAAAGAAACTGGGCTTATACAATATTATCAGCCTGGCCCATTTATTATCGTATGTTGGCTAGCCGTGTGGATTGGGGAACATGTTAGTGTTGTTCTTCTTACCCATCTGCGTTTTTTTTACATTTGTACGTCTATTTGTCATATGTTCCCAACTGGTGAAAATGAAATATTGATAAATGGGACAAAAAGTAATGGAATATGGAAGTTAGGGAGATAGGAAAACCAAAAAAGTAATGTTTAGAGGATTATAATTCCATTCATCTTTCACAATTTAGTAGAACGGTAGGAATGTTTTAAATTCAATTTCCTTCTTTTATAGTCAAAAGTAGTTGCATCTATAGTTTCTACCTCATAACAAAAGATTATATTAGTGATGAATAGTATTTCTTATTTTGTTTTGGAAATGTGATTCCTTTTATTTATATTTTCTAAAGAAAACATTTCCATTCTTAAACTCACTTGAAAAGAGTCATTTGGGTTTGTAATAATTAACATTTGTATGGCTATTCACCTGAATTTATTCATATCAAATGTGTTTGTCATTTTGTTAATTTTGTCCTTCCACTCTTGATTAACCAATTCTCATTGGTGAGTTTTTTTTTAATAATAAATCTCATTTTGTTGAGTAAGGATTATATATGTAGATCGGATCTTGAAATTAAGAGATCAATAGAAAAAAAAAAAAAAAACACACATTGGTGTTAACGAAGGGTGGGTCCAAAATGTGAAAATAACACATATTTTGAACAAAAATCAAAATTTGAGAAAAATAAAAATATAAGTATTGAGCCGTCGCTTCCTCTGCCTCTCATCTCCGTCTCTCTCGTTGTCTCCGCCCATCTCTGCTCTCTTTTATTTTCCCAGAAAGTTTTATTTTCTCCAAAGTTTTTTAATCTCATTGTTGACAATGGCGACGGCTTTTGCTCCCACAAAGCTCACTGCCACGGTTCCTCTCCATGGATCTCAAGAGAATCGTCTCTTGCTTCCGATCCGATTGGCTCCTCTTTCTTCTTCTTCTTTCCTCGGATCCACCCGTTCCCTCACCGTTAATTCTCCTCGCAGACTCAATCACTCCAACGCCACCCGTCGATCTCCCGTCGTCGCTGTCCAGGAAGTTGTCAAGGAGAAGCAATCCACCAATAATAGCCTGGTATGCTTCCACTTTCTCGTCTCTCATTTCTCCTAAAGACTGATACTTTCTCACAATTCTACAAGTTTTAGGCCCAGAATTTATCCTAACTAAGTAATTATGGAAATTTGTGATAGAATTGATAGTTCGAGATAGTAGATTTCTATGTGCCTTGTGATTTGTTGTGTTGATTAAGTAATTAAAGTTGGAGACTTTAAGTTTCTTTGTGAATTTTGATTCGTTTTGAAATAGTTGATAACCAAAGAGGAAGGATTGGAGTTATATGAAGATATGATACTAGGTAGATCTTTCGAAGACATGTGTGCTCAAATGTATTACAGAGGGAAAATGTTTGGTTTTGTTCACTTGTACAATGGCCAAGAAGCTGTTTCTACTGGCTTTATCAAGCTCCTTACCAAGAGTGATTCAGTGGTTAGTACTTACCGTGATCATGTCCATGCGCTCAGCAAAGGTGTCTCTGCTCGTGCTGTTATGAGTGAGCTCTTCGGGAAGGTTACGGGATGCTGCAGAGGTCAAGGTGGATCCATGCACATGTTCTCTAAGGAGCACAACATGCTTGGTGGGTTTGCTTTTATTGGTGAAGGGATTCCAGTGGCCACTGGTGCTGCTTTTAGCTCTAAGTACAGGAGGGAAGTCTTGAAACAGGATTGTGAAGATGTCACTGTCGCGTTTTTTGGAGATGGAACTTGTAATAATGGACAGTTCTACGAATGTCTGAACATGGCTGCTCTGTATAAACTGCCTATTATCTTTGTTGTGGAGAATAACTTGTGGGCGATTGGAATGTCTCACTTGAGAGCTACTTCTGACCCCGAGATATGGAAGAAAGGTCCTGCTTTTGGGATGCCGGGTGTTCATGTTGACGGTATGGATGTGTTGAAGGTGAGGGAAGTGGCTAAAGAGGCAGTCACTAGAGCTAGAAGAGGAGAAGGTCCAACCTTGGTTGAATGTGAGACTTATAGATTCAGAGGACACTCCTTGGCTGATCCTGATGAGCTCCGTGATGCTGGTAAATATCAACTTCCTTCTACCTTTCTGCTTCTTGATGCTTGTACTGTTTATTTAAGGATTGAAACAACCTTCTTATTTTATTTTTTGCAGCTGAGAAAGCCAAATACGCGGCTAGAGACCCAATCGTAGCACTGAAGAAGTATTTGATAGAGAACAAGCTTGCGAAGGAAGCAGAGCTAAAGTCAATAGAGAAAAAGATAGACGAGTTGGTGGAGGAAGCAGTTGAGTTTGCAGACGCAAGTCCACAGCCCGGCCGCAGTCAGTTGCTAGAGAATGTGTTTGCTGATCCAAAAGGATTTGGAATTGGACCTGATGGACGGTACAGATGTGAGGACCCCAAGTTTACTGAAGGAACAGCTCAAGTCTGAGAAGACAAGTTTAACCATAAGCTGTCTACTGTCTTTGGCTTCTCTTTGATGTTTCTATATATCTTATTAAGTTAAATGCTACAGAGAATCAGTTTGAATCATTTGAACTTTTTGCTTCTCTTTTTTTGTGTTGGGTGTTACTAAATCATCACAAGGTTCTTCTTATTAGTTCGTTGGTTTTCATTGGTTATCAGAGAAAATTGTCTTAAAAAAGATAAATGTTTTATACTATGTTCGTTCTTTTGTTTCTCTTTTTCTCTTTGCTTCTTCTCTGCATAGCTTGCTTATACTCCTCAAACACAAATGAAGTTACCCACTACCTAAAACATTGTATAAGACCATCCCCGGTAAGCGACATCTTCCCTCACACCATTATAATGGCTCTTTCCTGCAGATACAAGACTTGCAGACTTGATACTAACATCAAAGAAGACAGTGTTGTGGTTTGCATAACGATCATTTGGGTCCAACACCTTCAAACCTCTGAGGGAATTCAACATAGAAGATTCTATCACTACCACCTTCCCTCGGAGCCATGGAGTTGTAGATTATGTAGTGTTCAGATGAATGACATGATTGCTCTGGTCCTAACCAAAGCAATTGATGGCTCTGGTCCTAACCAAAGCAATTGATGGCATCTATCTCCCATAGAAAGACTAGCATTGGTAGTCTAATGCCAATGTCTGTTAGATCATCATGTCCATTATAAACAGTTTATTGAGAATTGGTTCAGAATCATCATCTCCATCTCTTCTTTCCTTCTCCATAATTAACATGTGCTTGTTTGTAACAGAGAGAGGTATAATAGATAGATCGTCCCGGTCCCACATAATGTTACAAACTTACCGTTTAGATTAGATTATCACCGTCCGATATCTCGCAGTTGCGACGTGATGAAAATAAACGGTCCAGATCTCTCGAACGTTCTCAGATTTTCTTATTTTTTTGTCAACTCTAATTAAAAAAGGAAACAAGCGTTGAAGAGAAAAGGAAACTTTAAGGAAACAATGGAAAGTTTCCTTTTTGTTTTGGAAGAACCTAATGCCTATAAATACAGACCCGAGAGAATGCTAATCTCCAACATCACTCATTCTCTCTTCTTCCTTGAGATATCAAAATTCACTCTTCTTCTTCGATACCATAACAAATCTTTCATTCTCTTGTCTTTTTGTAAACACAACTATCGTTTTTGATCTTTCATTCTCTCGTCTTTTCAACAAACAAACAACTATCGTAACATTGATCCCCATCCTCTCTTGTGACTCATCTTCAACCCGATCCAAACGATTTCAAATCCGGTCAACGACGGGCCACCGAAACGCTTTCACCGACTGCCAAGGAGAGCACCAAGACAATGATACAAACAACTATCGTAACATTGATCTCCATCCAAACATACAATGATACAAACAACTATCGTAACATTGATCTCCATCCTCTCTTGTGACTCACCTTCAACCCGATCCAAACGATTTCACCGACGGCCAAGGAAAGAGGAAAACGAAGAAAGAGACAAAGAGAGACGGTGTTTCCATGGCTCTGTTTTGTGTCGGAACCATTAGAGAGGCGATCACATTCCGCTCTCACCGCCATGTCATCGAAGCTCTTTCAGCCCAACAAAGCCCAACAAGAATAAAGAGTCCATGACGATAATCGTCTCACATTCCAACTA